GCCTTAGCCACTTGAGCCACAGGTGCCGAGCCGCCACCTGCCACAACGCCCAGCTATTTTTTGGTTGCAGCCGTCATTGTTGTTTTGGCGGACCCAGGCTGGATTCGAACCCGCCACCTTAGGTGTATATGGCTGGTGCCTTAGCCACTTGAGCCACAGGTGCCAAGCCTGCAATGACATTTTTAAGTAATTACAATTATCCTCATTTTACAAAGAAAGAAACAGGCACAGAAAAGTGAAGTAACTTGTCCAAGGTCACTTAGCCTCTAAAAGATACAGCCAGGAGTCAACCTAGGTGGTCTGAGTCCACCACACCAGTGTCCTCAATGTGTGGTTTGTAGACCCCTGGAAATAGTCCCTGAGCCCCTTTAAGGGATCTGTGGGATTAAAAAACTATTTTTATAATAATACTAAGATATTATTTGCCTTTTTCACTATATTGACATTTATGATGATGGATAAATTGCTGATGCTTTAGCTGAATTATGGCAGTGGTACCAAATTTCACCGGTAGTCTTAGTGCTCTTTACTGCCATGCACTCACAGTAAAACAAATAAAGCCAGTTTCACTTAATGTCCTTGATCAAGCAGTAGAAATTTTATTGAATCTTAATCCTCAAGCATAATCTCGTAAACATTCTGTGTGACTAAACAAAAGTATACCTAAAACTTTTCTGTTGCATACCAAAGTATGACAGTTGTCTCAGGAAAAGCATTTGTGTGATTAAATTGTGAGCTAAAAAAAAAAGGGAACATTTTTGCTTCAAAGAACTAACAGACAAACCAGGTAGAACCTGGGATTTAGTAAATATTTTCCCAAAAATGAATGCAGAAACCTGTTGCTTCAAAAGAATAACTGACAAGGTTTGTGGCCAATGATAAAATTCAAGTTTTCAAAGGAAAATTAAAATTTTAGAAAACTTGTATCTACTATCACTGTGAGTTTGACAGTCTCCTAGTGCTTAAAGATTTTTCTGATAAGTGGAAATACTAACAAATGTGATTTTTTTGATACCATGTATGTTTTTTGATATATATCAAATACGTCAAATGCAAGAAATATCTGCATAATTCAGCGATTTAGTTTCTTCTAAATGACCAGTGAATGAAGTTACCACATCACACTTTGGTAGGTAATGTTTTTAAAATGAGTTAATACTTAAGTTATTTGTTTTAATTTCTAATATGGTAAATATCACTAGATATAACCCATATACTTAAAAAAGACCATTGATGGTCCTCAATAATTTTTAAGATTGTAAAGTTAGTGAAATAAAAACGTTATGAGACCTTCTACCCTACATACTGGTGGTGCGGTGAAATGAAGCAGGAACTCAACAGTGTGGGCTGAGTCACATTAATGTTAGAGCCTTAAAGTAAATAAAAATTCACAAACTCCTTCAGGGTGGTCCTTTTTGACCTGTTCCAAATCCAGAACCTCTTCTAGTTCCAGTTATCATGAGGCTCAGGCCTACCTACCTCTATGTTATCTCTATTTTGAGTATAAATCTTGGTCAATAAGAATGGAATAATTTTATTTTTAATATCAAAGGAACTCTACCTCTTGGTCTTTTGGTTTGACATAGTTTGATGGAAAAATTCCAGTTCTATCTCCAATACTTCCTGTCCACCATTCTCCATCTTTCTGGGTTACCAATATTTCTTCACCTTCTGTGAAAGTCAAATCTCCAGGTTCCACACTTGAATATGGATAAAGTGCAATATATTCTATAAAGAATAAAGCAAAAAAAAGCAGATTTTGGTTGTAAGACTACAGATGTGTTAAGAAATTAGGTTAATCTCCAAGATCTTGCATAAATTTACCATAAAGGATTTTGTGGTTTTTTTTTTTTTTTT